AGCAGCCGAGCGAGCAAAGCAGGAGGGGAGCAGAGATGGGACCTGAGGCAGGGCGGTGGGAGCGGCAGAGCAGAAGAGCGCTGCAGCCCTGGCGCTGGCGGTGGTGGTGGCACAAGAGACCGAGGGATGAAAGTGTCGATGCTGCCAGACAGACACCTGAATAACAATTAAATAAGTAAAATATGCACTATTTACCTGTCTCTCAGGCAACACACACATAATTAGTTTATGTAAATACCTAACTCAGATTGGCAAAATAAGCACAGAGGCAGCTTATTTTCTTGAATAAATATTTATCTTGGTGCTTATGCTGTTTGTGGGCTCCGCTGCGACTGGCCGTCACACGCAGCTTTCCCCCGTGGAGGTCGGATGCCGCAGGATTTCCACAGCGACCGAGCTTGCGCAAGAGCTGTTCTGACCCACAGGCCACATTCCCATGATAACTGAGAACTTGAAGATAAGACTTAGCATTTTCTGATAAAAGCCAAATATCTCTGCAGAGAATACAATCCTCCATCCACTGAATGCCCGGTGAACTCACATCAGTTCCACCCAAATGAAAATGCTGTAACACTGGGTGAATAAGGAGGTCCAAACTTTTCAAGGCGTGTTAAAAAGTGTCTACATTTGGTGTGCAGTTGCCTTGGCAAAATTCATCTTTTTGGCCTCGATTCAGCAGAACACTTAAGAACATACATAAGACTTGGAAGGCGTGCAAGCTCCAGTAAAACAGAAGCATGTGCTTAAGTGGTTTTGCTGGATAAGGGCCTTTAAGCCACTGGCACTTGCTATAATTCCTCATTTTTAATAAAAACCATCTTACTGTGCAACAGCATAAAAGTTGGGGCTGAGGGAAGGAAGCAGTCAGCGCCTGATAATTGACTTCCCGGTTTGTAATGTCAGAGCATGACAAATGAAAGCTTCACCCTTGGTGGGTTTTGATTTAGATCCTCTCAGTCAGCAAACCTTTAATTAGAGGCCACCTTCAGAAAAATCTGCATTGATAAAAAGGATATCGAAGTGCAGCCCCGCACTGCCTTTAATAGCTCAGGGCACCACACCAGATTGGGCTCCTTAATACACGCTCCGTTCTGGCTGCGTGTGACATTCACTGCCAAGGACACGAGGCTGTGATCAAATCACAGGAGCTGCTGAAATGACACAGTAAAATTTTATTTCTGCACTAAAAGCATTTTGATCCTTGGGCATCCATGCAGATTTCTCTCTCAATTTTCTGCGGTAAAGCATAAACTCCTAGCTGCTATGTAACTTGCTATACCATTTTGACAAATTTGGCTTAGGATCTTTCAGACAGGCAGTTGCTAGTGAGCACTGACCACAGAACTGCTCATTTGTTTCCTCCTTCAGAAAAATCTGTAGCCAAATCCTTCAATATCTCCTTTGGCTTTCCCTGTTGAGTCAGGATACCCACACAGAAGTGATGGAGGAGCTGAAATGCTGCATTTGTGCTGTAACGTGGGGAGAGTAGCCGAGCTCCAAACCTGCCGGGCATCCACCGCCAGGATGGTACTGAGGATGCAGATCCTGCTCCTCAGCTGCAGACCCATCTCCAGCAGGGCGGCCAGCATTGCCTGCCCGCTTCTAAAACCACTGCCCTTCCATTTTCATCAATGTCACCAGAGCCACAGCCGCCACAAAAGGGCTCGTCAAGAAAATACTGTTTCCATTTTCTCTAAGTTTTGACAAATGCTGGTGATTGAAACGGACACTTTCTGTACCAAGCTGATTCCGTTTGGAAGGTGAGAAAGAATGGGAACCAACCAGGGCTGAAGAACCATACATATTTTCACCATTTTTAGAGTATTCCTGAAACTCTTCTATTCAGGACCTCTTAAGCTATGTTCTTTGGAGAGGAGACCCTTGCATACACACACATATACGTATGTAATGGATAAAGGCTCATGTAGAAACTCTTCTTACAGAAAAAGGCCCAGATTCCTCTATTTAAATATATTCCACTGACTTTCATCACAGATTTGTAAGGTCAAATGCGATCATCAGTCTCACCTTCCCTCCACAACACAGACCAGAAATCTTCAACAATTTCTACAGTGAACCCATAGTTTCTGTTGGAGTAAAGCATGTTCTAGCAAGACAGCTAATATTGATTTAAAGTTTGCAAGTAATGATGAATCCACTATATCTCTAGGTAATTATCACTCATGGTTAATTTAGAATTTTAATTTTCAGAACCAGATGTTAAATAAATCTTGCATGTGTATGCGAGGCACCTGGCATGGAGGGAGGTACTGCTCAACTTCAGAAACATGATTCACGTGCCTGCATTTCCTCTGAAGACAATGGTAGAAGAGTGATTTGCAAACCCCAAGCAAGGCAGCTGACATTGAGGTAGCCTTGGATGTGTTTACTTAAGGTTTTTTTAAAGAACCTGAATGAATGTTTAGCGAGAGGGCTGAATGCAGCTCTTAACCAACAGAAAGAGGTTGTATGTGGTTGCTCACTGAATCTAGCACAGAAATTATTAAACAACAGAAATCACAGAAAGAAACACAATTCATACAAGAAGCCTGAATGAAGAATATGCTCAGCTGAAATTCCTCATGCAGCTCGGGTGGTTCCAGCACGACAAGCTGTGAAGTCCACTGTTAGCTAGCAAAAGCATCTCCATGGCGGGGCTCGCAGATGCAAGGAAGAAAGACCTAAGGGGAAGCGTGTGAGGTTTTGCTCGCTCCCGCCAGCCAGGCAAGCTCGCGAGCATTCCCCAACAGCAGCGCTCCTACCCTACGCCACGGCTTCCTCGGAATGAGCCTTTCAAGTCCTATCAGGAGGTTGACAGAGGAGAAAGAAATTGAACCTTTCACCTCATGCTGCTACAATATTACTTCCTGCAACTTCATTCTGGAGTGGCTTCCCTCTGCGACTTTCTCCTCTGGCAGCAACACTGAAAGGAAGGCCAACAAAAACAAATCATCTCTGCAAACGGTGGGATTTGCACACAGCAGACTCTCTTGTGAAGAGTTCTGCGGCAAGAAGCAAGCGCGGCAAGGATCACAGACGTTTTATACTGCTGTAAAATACAATTTTTCTGACCATTTTAGAAGAGCCTATCAAAATGAGCTCATTGCACCTAGGCAAAACCTGCGGAGACTGCAACACCTCTCTGTTGTCTGCACTGTATTTCGCCAGCTAACTCCAACCAAAAATCTATACAATGAAAGTCATCGAGTATGACTGGCAATGCGGACCGCATTTTGCTCTCCAGCTCACCGATTTAAATCAGGAAGAACTCTCTTAAAGATGGTAAACACAGCCACACCACCATCTCCAGAACTTCGCCCAGCCTGGTTTGGAGACTCTGCATCTGTGTTGGGGTTTTGTTTAGGTGATGAGGAGTACTTGTAATAACTGGAGCATGTTTTATCAGTTCAGCATTTCGCCTGTTGTATCTCAGGTATTCTTGCGCCTAATGCACCCAGACCAGTCCCCCGTCCCTCACCGGGAGAGCTTTGGAGAAGGGCTCACAGAAAGCACTGTTTGTGTGCAACGCAGCGCAGCTCTGACAACAGCTTTGCCTTTGCCCGTACGGCAGGGCTGCAGGTCGGAAGGGAGCAGCTACAGGGAGTCCGGCCCGTGCCAGGCACAGAGGGCCCTGCCTGCACCGGGAAGGGGGCAGGAGGTCCGGCCTGGCTCTGGCAGAGGCACGGGGCAGACTTGACCCATATGCAAAGGGAAGGGGGAATCCCAGGGTGGCACTTTGGGGTTTTTTTGGCTCATTATTGTAGTGTGACTGCTGTGGGTGTTTCTAAGGGGATGGAAACACCTCGGTTTCTAACGTCTTCTTTCCTTCTGCCTCTGTCTCTCTCTGCGTTGTGCACAGAAAGCCGATCTGGCTGTCGCTCCTCTCACCATCACCCACGTTCGGGAGAAAGCGATCGACTTCTCCAAGCCCTTCATGACCCTGGGGGTCAGCATCTTGTACCGGAAGCCCAACGGGACCAACCCCAGCGTGTTCTCCTTCCTCAACCCCCTGTCTCCTGACATTTGGATGTACATCCTCCTTGCCTACTTGGGGGTCAGCTGCGTGCTGTTTGTCATAGCCAGGTAAGGGAACGCCGGTGCCACCCCACCCGAGTGCCATCACGCCACATCTGCTGCCGTGCGCCAGGCTCTTTTTGCTGCCTGTGTGTCGCAGGGATCCAACCACCTGGTGGGAGCCGCAGCATTAAACCAGTGTCATTAATGAAATTACTTTTGGTCCATTACCCAAAGGCAGGCTGGTGTCTTGGAGTGGGGTTGCTCATGACTGCCAGACTCCTGTGCTCCGTCCTCTTTCAGACCTGTATCTCAGAGCAGTTGTAGAGGCAGGGCAAACCCCATGGTGAAAATTAAAGATAAGCTATCCACAGGGGAAATTTGTTTCCTTCTTCACTAGCTCCAGCCTGCGTTATATCCTTTGTACTGCTTTACTATACGAAATGTGCTTGTGTGTGTTTGCTTTATTAACATAAACCTGTAAGCCTCTTTTGCCGTATCAGGGCAGGCAGTTCCACAGATTTAGCAGACTTCCAGTACAAAAGAATTTTGAAATACGCTTTCTTTTATGATTTTAGAAATTTTGTTGCCCTTCCATTTCATTAGCACCTCCCTGGTACAAGGAAAGGCAGTTTTCCTGCTCTGTGTTGTTCCTCACCATTCATGCTCCTGGTAGGTCAGTTCTCACCCACCTTCTCCAGGAAGAAGCCCAGCCTCTCCACTGTGTCCTGGACACAAAGCTCCCGTGTTCCTCACCGTTTTCAGCTCCTGTCTCTGAACCCTCCACCAGCAAAGCTCCCACAAACCCTTCCCTATATCAAAAGAATGGAGAACCCGTTGCTATGAATCAAACAATGTGTCTGTTTACAAGATTAATATGCATCTAATTAGCATGTTTAAAACTGCTATATTTAAAAGCAGCAGAATTTGCATATATTTGCAGGTGTTACTAATTTCACAGAGTCTTTGATGTGACGCACAGTCCAGGGCTGCTCAATATGTGATTCCACCTTTTCAAACCAAAAGAAAGCACTTACTCCCTCCTGGCAGGCAGCCGCCCTCCCCGGCCAAGCACAGCGGGGGAACTTTCCTAAACACAATCTGCAGTTAGACACTCGGTTTCTCATTTCTTCCAGTTCAAGTTATGCCAGTGGTGCCTTCAGAAACCTCCCTGCGGACCCCACACCTCGGACCGGGGCTCTGCGCAGACCCCTTTCCTCCAAGGGCTGCTGTGCTGTGTTTTCCTCCAAGCATCCTTCAGAAACCAGCTTCTATCTAATCCACTGACATCAATCAGATAGTCCATGTAAAGATTAAATGTGAAACTGCAGCAACCAGAATCCATTAACCCTCATGTTACAACAAATCTGCAATTTTCCACATCCCTCAGGTCCATGGAGGCATTTAGAGATGATTTCCTGAGTTTACTGTGTAATATCCTAATTACACATAACAGCAGTTGTCAAAGTAAACTCGGCTTAGCAGACAGCATTAGTGCTCCAAACCACCCGGGATGGCAAAGCAGCTCCATCGCCTGATCCTTCCTCTGCAGAGCTGCAGCGCAGGAGAGGTTGCGCCTCGCTCTTAGAGGACACAGAAGGCCCTCCAGGTTCGAGATTTTAACCAGACTCATGCTCCTTCCTAGCCTTTGCAATGCATCTCTACCAAATGGCCGTGCACCGGGTTTGCAGGCGCTTTCCTGAGGTCCAGCAGAAGCTGCCTGCGCACGGATGGCTTTGCGGGCTGTTTGCACAGCGCCCCTGGGAGCGCAGGCCTGGGCTCCCGTAGCACTGCCGTGCAACCAGCAGCTCATAAAAACAACCTACCAGTTCATTTCAGCAAGCAGGTGGTGTAGCCACACAGAAATAGTATTGTTATTACTATATTATTTTATAAGAGGACGAGAGTCGTGTTGCCATCAACGCATCGCCTCACCTCCCTGCCAGCTCTGCCCCGCAGACCCCGGCTGGAGGCAGGCAGCGGCCGGGGGCCACACGAAATGCAGGGCAGCTCGGCAAAGCACCGCCGCCGGCTTTGTCCCACCCCAGCTGGAGCCCCTGGGGAGGCCCTCGGGACTCCCACGGGGCAGGATGAGGTCCGCAGCGGTTTTGCTTTGCATCGGAGAAGAACCAGATGCTCTCAGCAGGGAAAGATA